GAGAGAGAGAGAGAGAGAGAGAGAGAGAGAGAGAGAGAGAGAGAGAGAGAGAGAGAGGAGCACTTACATTAGAGCCAGAGAGCAAAACAGGGGAATCCAAAAGCGTAGCAGGGCTCAAACCGGATGGTATCGAAAGATAAGACGAAGGAGATGGAGAAGGCGAAGGAGAAGAAGAATTGCTAAGGGGCAAAGACGGCGGCGGATTTGTTTTAAACCTCGGAATTCCACCTTCTCTCCTTGCCATGAATCTCTCGGCAAAACTTCCACTCGGAATTGGCCGAGAAGATGCCGGAATCCTCCTCTCTGGAGATCCGATATTGAAATCTCCAGCCAAAAGGTCAGAAAAAGAGGAGTGAGAAACATCCATGTCTTGTTGGTTCCAGAATAACGAAGAGAACGGATTATGGCTCGATGAAGGAGTCTCTAATGGCTCAGGCATGGCCATTAGCGGAGAATTGGGTAATAAAAAAAGATGGGTTTCGAAGCAATTGTGGATTAATGAGGGAGAAATGATTCTCGGAAGAGGAAATGAAGAACACGGAAGTAAAAGGTGGAAAGAGAGATACAGAGAATAATTGAGCAGCGTTAGAGAGAAGGCTAATGGTTGTGGTTGAGGTGCTTTAAAAGGAGAAAGAGAGAGAGAGAGAGAGAGGCGGAGGCTGCTTAGAGAGAGTAGACAGGGAAGGGAAGGGAAGGATATAGTTTTGGTTTTGGAGGGGCATTTGCAGTCAAAGCTCGTGGTTTTGACTGACTGAATGACCGACTGGAAGCAACGCGGTCCTTGCCGCAGAGAGAAAGAGAGAGACTCTAGAGAGAGAGAGAAGGCGGCGGCTTCTTCCTCTAATTTTTTACTTTTTTGTTATAGACTTTATAATACAAATAGTTTTTTCTTATGGCCTTTAATTATAATACAAACTTGCGGGGGTTTTTTACTTGGCTCCCTTTCCAAGTAATCAGCTGATTGCTCTATTTTCGGCCCGGAATTTGCCCTACTTCGTTAAGGGTGGCAGTCGACTCCGCCGGCCTGGCCTAGTTCTTGTCGCCATAATAGGGATGGATTGGGCCGGGCCAAAATAAAAAACGAACGGAGTAAGAAAATAAGAAGAAAAAGGGCTCGGTGACAAGCAATCTCCGTCCGTGAGTAACAATCTCTGCCACTGGCCTAGGTGACATACCATATTTTTCTCTTCCACGTGTCTTCGTTGCATATATTATTTAACTTACATATATTGATTGGATTAAACTCAGCTCTACTTGACCAGTTAAGACGCATACCAAACTCGCCCGGTCCAACACCTCAACCTAGATCCGGGCTCGGTTCGGATTGATCTGTTAACCCAGTTCTGGGAGACAGGCAGGTTGACCCGACCCGATTGCAACATTTGTTTTTTGAAATTAGCTCCTGATTTTTTAGGCATCCTCACTCTTTGGGATTTAATACACATCATAATCTGGGGCAGAGGATAGAAACCCTCATAAACGCCTTTCAAGAGACCCACTAATAATGCTACTCTCTTTCGCGGGGCGATATTTGTCCGCGTGTTCGTAGCAGCCACTCGGTCGAGTACTTGGCCAATGCCAAAGAGCGTACTCGGTCCATGCCCAAACCGAGTAACTTAGGCCCAAATGCGAGTAACCGGCCCGTATACTGTAGCAGTAACAGCGTTAAAAAAAATCAAATAACATCCTAAAAATAAGAAATATATATTTAAAATAAAATTAAAAAAATCTAAAAATGAGGTTAAAAAAATTTTATAATCTAAAAAGAAAGAAAAATATAAAAATACTTATTCTAAATAAATATCCATAGCCAAAAATACTTTTCAATATTTGTCAAAATGATAGAACACAAAATATTTTATAAATAATTTTTTTTTATTTTTTTTGTTTTTTATTAAGATCTTCAAATTGGACACCAAACTCGAAGATACTCAAGCTTACTAAGGTAGCAAGCCCATACGGATTCGAAGATCTTTTATCTTTCACAAAGAAATTAAAAAGGTGACATATGTCTAATTTTTGTTTGTGCAAAACGAGGGCAAGGGAACTTTTGTATTAAATTTATTGATTTTTTTGCTGAAAAAGATACAAAAAAAACAGTGTTGGGATTTCGAGTATGAGAGAAAAAAATATTGAAAATAGGTTATCTGAAAAGTTGATTTTGGGCATCTATAAATTCCTCTAAAAATAATTAAGTAATAGAAGAGTGTTATGCTTAAGTGAAAATCTATCACAACTTTTTAAGAGCCAGACAAATTTTAGCAACAGATACAAGCTAGAGACAGGGTTTTAACTTTTGTCACATTTAGCTCATTGGAGGCCACATGAACATCTTTGTAAACAGTTTTAACACTGAACTTCTTGGAAGATATTTTCTAGAAAAGTATAAACTTTTAATTTATTCAAATAGTTCTAGAAGACTAAGAAATGGCAATCTTGCCCCTGGAGCCTCGGTGAAGGTGACAAAACACATTCGTCATCTTATTCAAACTTATAAAACCCTTCAATGATATCAGTCAAATATGGCATAAAGCTACCCCTAAGATTTTAGAGAATACCGGCCATACCCTACTAAATCCCGCACCTACTTACTCGTGTCTATCAACTACTTCAAATGCGCACGTGTGTGCGTCATATCTCTATATCTAAAGATGCAAACTTGGGGAGGGAGTAGTCATCTTTCGGGTTTTACCAAATACAAGTCCCGCTCTCGCACTCCTATTTTAATCCTGGAATATATTTTTGGAAAAATTTATTTCGGGATGGAAAAGGTTTCTATACTTCTCCATTGAGAAGATATATAATTTCTCATATCAAACCGTTCAATTTAGATCAAATGAGTTACTGCCCGTTTGATCTTAGATCCGGTGTTTTAAAGTATTTTATTTTACATTTTTTTTCCAATAATCGTATGAATATAAAATTTGGTAAGTGTCATCTTCTCAATGGGGCACACTTAAAATAAATATTAAAATATTATATGAATAGAAAATTTGGTAAGTGTCATCTTCTCAATGGGGCGCACTTAAAATAAATATTAAAAAGAATTTTTCTTTAAAATATAATAACCAAAATACCTCTTGAAACTTTCAAGGGTATTTTGGTTATTTAATTTTATTGAGAATTTTTTTTTAATATTTTTTTACAAGTACAAGTTTAAGAGAGGATTGAATTCCCAAATTTTGTGTATCAAAATATTTTGTTAAAAAAAATTAAAAATAAATAGTGCAGATACATGACATTGTAATTGGGGCCATCTCAACCGCCCATTCAAAATGGACGGTTGGATAAGAGAAAGTATATAAGTTTTATGCAATAGAGGAAGCATAGAAAGCTTGCTCATTTATTTTATGTGATATATATTCTTCTTTATAAAAATAGATTTCGCCAATGTTTTGTTTTGTTTGGATAGAATATGAATGCAATCTCAAAGATACATTTATGTTGTTTAACTCATATGAAAGTAGGAATTGGATTTTGGGTTAGCAGCTAACGTTTAGCAATGCTACATTCATGTTTGATTTCTACCACCTGCTTTATTTTATCTTCATAATGTACTTCTTTTGAAAATCTTTTAGTGGTATACTACCTCTTTCTAAAGATCTATTAATAAATGCTTAATATGATTGTATTACTTGTTAAAGGTGGACCATGTGATAAAGCACGGTGTATATAAATCTAATTTTATTTTCTTACACCAGCAAGATCGCTTATAATGTTCAATTACAAATAAAATCATTCTTGAAGTAAATAAACGAATAAAATTGGTTTTCACTTGCTACCACTTAAAAACAACTTATTTATTTAATAATAAAAACTTGACACATTGCTTTATAGGAATAGAAGAGTATAATATAGAAATAAAATAAAGCAAGTAAAATTGTAGAAGATTACCTCAACCAGGTTTATTACACCCCAAACCGAGTTTTCTCCTTCTAATGGTGCTCAAGATCAATGATCGGTCTATTGATTCTACTAAGTACGAAAAAACCTTCTCAAAAGCATATGGATCTCAATGTAGAACCAAAGGACTAAGGCCTTAATGCGTTAACCTACCTTGAGCCCCCTTGACTTAACCTTAGAGAGATGAGAGATGGGGTATGCCCCCTTATTCTATCTTTCGATGAGAGAGAGAGAGAGAGAGAAGAGAGAGAGAAGAACAACCTTACTTGGAGCATGCCCTCGCTTAGTAACCTTCTAAAGAGAGAGAGAGAAAGAGCTTAAAGAGAGAAAAGAAAAGAAGAGAGATGTAGATAATTATGGGAGGGAGGGCCATAGTTATATATTTTCTATGCCTTAGGATTTGTCATCTTTAGTAAAATCAAATTTACACCATTGATCTGAAGAGACTTGTAGGGTAAGAGATGTGAGTCATCTATTCTTTAGATCCAACATCAAGGTTAAAAAAAAAATGTTAGTCTTACTTTCCATTTCCTAAACTTATTCCCATCAAATATTTAACTAAAGAAAATATAATCATACTTTCTCTTTTAATGAATATTCATTCCTTATTCATTTAATTTTTGATCAATCATCGTATTTTGATTCACAAACATACTAAATTTCATTATATTGATTCTTAATGCATGAATGCTTTATACAAAATAAAAAACCAACTAGCATAAAGGCTTTTCACAACATTTAGTAAGCAAACTCCTATGAGTAGGGCCTGCCACCCTAGGTGGCCCCAAATGAGCCCCACCCAATTCTATCATGTGATTAAATGGGCCCCCATACCATATAATGTGGGTCCTTCATATTTTTAGTAAATATTTAAATTGATTTTTAGAATTAAAAAATAGAACTTATTTCTCTTTAGTTATTTAAAACATTGAAAATTGATTTCTCTTATATTATAAATCCAAATAATAAAAATAAAAATATCAAGATAATCACAAAAATTCAAACAATTATTCTAAAAATTATATATTATAAAATTAATTAAATCTAATTAACTTTGATGGGAATTGGATCCATATAGGTCTAGAAATCATAAATATATCGGAGCACTCTAGCTTCAACTGTTAACTACGATCCACACTAGCTTTCTCAAACTAACTCAGCGATTCACATGACCCACATTCCACAACAAACGTTTATGATTAAGCCACCAAAGTCAGCCAATAGGCTAGGAGACGTAATCCTAGTCTATGGATTACATGTTCTACCCTAGAGACAAATTCATGGTTCCTCAGACCATTATACAACCATGGCTCCATAGTGCATAGGGGTCATCTCTTGCACATGTACATGCTTCACCTTCAATAGTGGATTGATATGTTGATACGACTATATATGTACATATCGTGTGATGGTTCAGGGATGAAGCTTTGACATAGTCTCTAAAGGCCCACTATCACACACAAGGGCCACACAATCGCTCAGCTTCCTTATCCAGGCAACTCCAACCTCATCAAGGGATGACCCACTGAACCCTTATCGGTTTAACTCTATGCTCAAGTACCTTGGATTTTTCAACTCGATTGGCCTAGCACGTTGAGCCAAGTCTACGTATCGGCAAATAGCATTTTCCTAGTATGGTCTACAAGAGGACCGCACTCCCATTGAGTTTATGTTTCACTATATAAAATGCTTATACAATCTCTCTTCCTCACATTCTCATCCCCCCAATTACAATCTCCCTCTCAAGCATTTTTCATTTATTCTCTCTTATTACATTAATCATAGCTTTCACCATCAATCTTTTTACAGACG